TTATGATTTAAAAGAAGACAACAGCACAAGAAAATTGAATTTCCAAAAATTCAGTAAATATACTCTGTCCCCTAAAATATTAACAAAAATTAATGTAAATAACAAGAAGTATCAATATACTTCCTATAGTTCAGTTTCTTCCTATCACTTCTGAAGGAAATGAAACTTAAGTGATTGGTATCTGGGGCTGGAGCGATAGCACAGTGGGTAAGGCGTTTGCTTTGCACACAGTTAATATGGCCGACCCGAGTTCGATTCCTCCGCCCCTCTCGGAGAGCCCGGCAAGCTACTGAGAGTGTCTCGCCGTATTCAATATGCCAAACACAGTAACAAGTCTCACGATGGAGATGTTACTGGGCCCGCTCGAGCAAATTGATGAATAATGGGAGGACCGTGACCGTGACCCCTAAAATATTAATAAAAATTAATGTAAATAACAAGAAGTATCAATATACTTCCTAGAGTTCAGTTTCTTCCTATCACTTCTGAAGGAAATGAAACTTAAGTGATTGGTATCTGACTAATCAGGATGAGTTTATTGAGGTATAAATAGAACCTGCCAAACAAAAGGTTATAGCCAGGGCTAGACCTTAAGGCAAAGAAATCAAAGAACCAGTCCAGAAGGCCACACATGTCCTCCACAGTGAGAATCACCCATGCTGTCACCCTGGGGTACACAGACAACACCTGTATAATTTCTCAGCTGTGATAGAAAAACCACCAGTTCATCTGTTTCTTCAAGATGCATCAAATTCCAGCATTAAAAGACCAGTTAGATAAAGGTTTCATCTTTCTTTTGTTTTCTTTTTAGCTGTCTTGCCTTTAATTTTTTTTTAACTTTTATAGTGGAAAACTTCAAATATGTGCACAATGCAGACAGAAGAATAAGTCTTCCTCCACCCAATATTCTTACTGTCCAAATTTAACAAGTAACAACTCACGGCCAATCTTATCTCCTTCTTTATTCCCTCCACTACTCCCGCCATCTGGACTATTTTGAAGCAAGTCCAAAACAGATTACATTTCCTTTCCAAATATTTATCTATAAGGTCATTTAAGGATATTATTTCCATTCAGTGACTGTAAAGCTTGATAAGCTCTATTTAAATCGTGAAATTCCTGTTATATTTTTCAGGAAGCGCTGGCTTCAATCTTCATAAGCTTAAGCTTTTGTGTTCTTTATCCTTGGGCAGTCTGCTGAGGGCCTGGCCTTCTTTGCTGCCTAATTCAGTGGAAAGTCTTTGGTACTGATTGGCATTTTTCACATCTACCCTCTCACATCCTCCCCTTCACACTCATACTTTTTCCTTTTGAGACTTTTAAGAAGGGAGAGAGGGTTGAGTTAGGTAACTTAAGCTAAGGAAAGATGTACCCTCTCATAACTTCTGCTTTTTCTTAGATATAGACTGATATTCCACTCAGATAACAAGACTAACCTAGAAGGTTTTCAGACATGTCTAAAGCTCCACACAACTGGCTCACTCATCTAGGTACCTGCCTGGCAGCAGGGCCCCTTCCTGGGGCTGCGCATCTAACTACACCCCCCGAGAATGGCTGGTTTTCATCCTTGGTCTGCGGAGGATGGGAATTGAGGCATACCACATGCACCCAAAGCTGAACCGTTCCGGGCACCCTCTGCTCACTCATCCAGGTACCCGCCCGGCGGCACAATCAGGAGGCCTGAAGGGTACCAGCTAGAAGAAATCTGAATAAAATTATGCCAAGACACATCCTGATCAAAATGACCAAAACCTTAGATAGACACAAAATTCTGAAAGCAGCAAGATCAAAGAAAGAAATTTCCAATAATCTTTCTCAACGTCAATGGGCTAAATGTACCATTACAAGACACAGAGTGGCAGGATGGATTAGAAAATTGAACCCAACATTCTGCTGCCTGCAAAAAAAAAAACACATCTCAATAGTAAGAGCAAACAAAGGCTCAAAGTCAAAGGCTGGAAAACAATCCTACAGGCAAACAACTCCCATAAAAAAGCTGGGGTAGCCATCCTAGTATCAGACCAAATTGATTTCAGACTGAAGAAGGTCACAAGAGACAGTGAAGACCATTTCTTATTGATCAAGGGATCTGTACAACAGGAAGAACTTAGAATACTAAATGTATATGCACCTAACGAGGGACCAGCAAAGTACTTATAAAAACTACTCATAGACTTGGAGAAAGACATTGATAGCAACACTATACTAGTAGGAGACTTCAACACCGCTTTATCACCTCTTGATAGATCAACCAGACTCAAGCTTAGCAAGGACATACTTCATCTGAGGGAAAAAATGGAAGAAAGGGACTTAGTATATATGTACAAGACACTTCATCCTCAAAAAGCTGAATACACATTCTTCTCAAGTGTGCATGGAACATTCTCCAAGATAAACCACATGCTAAACCACAAAACATACCTCCATACATAAAATTAAGGAGATAGAGATTGTATTGACAATCTTCTCAGATCACAATGTGCTGAAATTAGAAGTAAATCACACACACAAACAGAAAACTAAATCAAACACCTGGAAATTAAACAGCTCACTATTGAACAACGAGTGGCCTAGAAAGGAAATCAAAGAGGAAATCAAAAGTTTTCTGGAAATGAACAAAATGTGGACACGGGTTACCAAACTTATGGGACAAAACAAAAGTTGTGTTAAGAGGAAAGTTTATAGCTCTACAAGCATTCCTCAGGAAGGAGGAGCAAGCCCACATAAGTAACCTAACCTCACAGCTTAAGAGCTTGGAGAATAACCAACAAAAGGAGCCCAATCCGAACAGGAGGAAGGAAATAATAAAACTCAGAGCAGAGATTAATGAGATGGAAACCCCAAAAACAATCCAAAAGATCAGTGAAACCAAGAGCTAGTTCTTTGAGAAAATAAACAAGATCAATAAGCCTCTAGCAAAACTCACAAAGAAAGGGCGAGAGAAAACCTTAATAAAACGAATCAGAAATGAAAATGGGGTCATTACAACAGAAACTACAGAAATTCAAAGGATCCTCAGGGAGTACTTTGAGAAGCTTTATGCCATACAACACGAAAACCTCGAGGAAATGGATAAATTCCTAGATTCCTAGAGACTCCCAAGGCTGAACCAAGAAGACCTGGAATACCTGAACATACCTATTACCATCAAGGAAATTGAAATGGTAATAAAAAGTCTCCCCAAGCACAAAAGTCCTGGCCCAGATGGATTCATTAGTGAATTCTTCCAAATCTTTAAAGAGGACTTACTACCAATACTCTTTAAGCTTTTCCACGAAATTGAAATATCAAAAACACTTCTGAACAGTTTCTACGAAGCAAACATCACCCTGATACCAAAAGCAGACAAATATACCACAAAAAAAGAGAATTACAGGCCGATATCCCTGATGAACACAGACACAAAGATCGTCAACAAAGTATTAGAAAATGGAATCCAACGACTCATCAAAAAGATCATACACCATGACCAAGTAGGATTCATCCCAGGGATGCAAGGATGGTTTGACATTTGGAAATTGATGAACATAATCCATCATATCAACAAAAGAAAAGATAAAAAGCATATGATCATATCAGTAGATGGAGATAAAGCATTTGACAAGATCCAGCACCCGTTTATGATAAAAACCATTGCCAAAATGGGTATAGAGGGGACTTTCCTCAATATAGTTAAAGCCATCTACCACAAGCCTAAAGCAAGCATCATCCTCAATGGGGGAAAACTGAGAGCCTCCCTCTAAGATCAGGCACAAGACAAGGTTGCCCATTTTCGCCACTCCTATTCAATATAGTACTGGAAGTCCTGGCCATTGCAGTTAGGCAAGAGAAAGGTTTCAAGGGAATACAGATAGGAAAGGAAGAGGTCAAACTATCACTATTTGCAGATGATATGATACCATACTTAGAAAACAGTAAAGATTCTACAGAAAAGCTCCTAGAAACAATACGTCGGTTTATTAAAGTGGAAGGCTACAAAATCAATACTCAAAAGTCCATGGATTTTTTATATACAAATAATGAAAGAGAAGAAAGATACATTAAAAAAAACAATCTCGTTCACAATGTACCTTTGAAAATCAAGTACTTCGGAATCAGCTTAACCAAAAAGGTGAAGGACCTATACAAGGAAACAACCCAAGAGCCCTAGAACAGACAACTGATTAAAAAAACTTTAATACATCTATACAATGGAATACTATGAGAGATGAAGTCATGAACTTTGCTTATAAATGGATAGACATGGCGAGTATCATACTAAGTGAAATGAGTCAGAAAGAGAGGGACAGACATAGAAGGACTGTACTCATTTGTGGAGTATTAAACAAAATAATATGAAGCTGACACCTATGGATAGTACATACACAGGACAGATAGATTGCTCCATAGCTGGAAGTCTGTCTCATGAGCAAAGGGGAGAAGGCAGCTGGAATAGAGAAGGGATCACTTAGAAAAAGATGACTGGAGGAATTGGTCGGGATGGGAGATGTGTGAAGAAAGTAGATAAAGGACTAAACATGATAGCCTCTCAGGGTCTGTATTGCAAACCATAATGCCCAAAAGTAGAGAGAGATTATGGGGAATCATGTCTGCCATGGAGGCCGGGGGAGGGTGGGGAAGGGGGGTATACCTGGGATATGGTTGTCGGGAATGTGCACTGGTGGAGGGAATGGGTGTTTGATCACTGTGTGATTATAACCCAGACATGAAAGCTTGTAACTATCTCACGGTGATTCAATAAAATTAAAAAATAAATAAATAAATAAAGCTCCACACAAACACTGACTAGTCATAAACTGAAAACCCAAAGAGGCCAGTTTCTTAGCCTGAAATAAAAAAGTGCTTAAGAACTCTCTTTCCTTTTTAATTGCTTTAATAATGTTTTCCCAATAATTGAAATATATTTCTGTTGCCATTGTAAGGTAAATAGAAATGTACTACTTTTGTTGGGAGCAGGTATGGAAGATATCTCAAATGTGGTAGAGAGAAAATCAGCTTACCTCCTGAACGATTGTAGAAATAAAACTTTTGCCCATAAAGGGAACATAGGTGGAGCAGAGAGGCACTGAGGTCTCTGAGAAGACATCCTTAATGGTGAGTTTCTTGGCAACTAAGCCATGAATATTGAGCCAGGATGCTGTAGATAGACCTGACGAACTAAGAACAAAAGACTGTGATATTAAAAAGTCAACAACAACAGGGCTGAGTGACTGTGGGTAGGATGCTCGCCTTGCACACAACTGACCTGGGTTCAGTTCCCAGACACATTTGGTCCCCAAATACCGCCAGGAGTGATTCTGAGCACAGAGCTAGGAGTAACCACTGGGAGGTGTGGCAAAAAAGCACACACCAAAAAAAAACCCACAAACACACAAAAAATATTTGTAAAAATAAAATAACACATCATCCAGCAAATTTAAGGCACTCACTTTAGGTCACAATCACCACTCCTTTCTCCAGTCACTGTTCTGAAAGATTTGTCATCTGAACATTCATTTGCCATCAGAATGTTTATTTCTGTGGAAGGGAAAATGACAACTATGTAATTTCCTCATTTGTGGGGTTTACATCAAAATTAAAATGGGTTAGTGCTAGTTAATGGGTCATATATCAGAAGATATTGATCTGTCAGAGTGGAGTTCTGTCAAGATTAATTTTTAATTGACACTAAAGACCAATAGGTAATCATGTTTCTGTCATTGTTGTGTATTTACCTCACTCCACATACATTAAAATAGATTTCTATAGAGAATGAAATCAGTCATTTTCCAAAATCATATAATATAAAAAATATTAACAAATGTCACCCTCAAATTATATAGGAAAATCTTGATTGAGATTTTAGTTGCTTTATTCCTCCTTAACTGTACATAGAAAATCTAAATCCCTTTCCAGTCCTACTTAGTTGTGGATTTAAAGTTTAAAATTAATGTTTAGGGTGCTGACATATATTCTTACATGGCTGGAGCGATAGCACAGCGGGTAGGGCGTTCGCCTTACACGCGGCCAACATGGCCGACCCGAGTTCGATTCCTCCGCCTCTCTCGGAGAGCCCGGCAAGCTACCGAGAGTATTCGATATGCCAGACACAGTAACAACAAAGTCTCCAATGGAGACGTTACTGGGCCCGCTCGAGCAAATCAACGATCAACGGGAGGGCCTTTTAACTTGGATTAATAAAAAGAAGAAAAGTATCTAGTTAATCAAAGCATCAAGACAGATATTTAGAAGTGAGTTAGTTAAAAGCCTCAGAAAACCTCCTCTCCTAGGATAAATATCCAACTCATCCTATGAAACAACTTTAAGGATTGTGCTTAAAACAAACTTTAAAAATACAGTTGTTTAATTGAAACCAAGGAACAGTCATACTGATCAGTACTGAATAAATTAGACTTTTATTAAAGTCTTAACTGAACAACCACAGGTGTAAAGTGGTCATTCATTTGCTTTTATCACTCAGAGGACTGTGTGTGTGTGTATCTGTGTCTGTATATACATGCATTCATTATATAAAAGTGACATCATCCTTTATCAATAATTCGAGATATGAAAGTACTACAGGAATTAAAATTTTCAAAAATTAGCATTTAAGAATAGTATTTTGTCATTTGTAATAAAAAATTGGAATAGTCATATTTTTCCTTACACTTAACCCACAAAAGATTGACAATATGAAGGGTTCATTGAATGGCTCAAGTGTGAATGAAGAAAAGAAAAAACCAAGAGTTCTTGAAATAGGAATCAATCTGGATCCATGTAAGATTGTCTCTCCCACCCCAAATGTACTATACTCAGTTCTTTCAGGAGAAGGTACACTAGGAAAGGATGGTCAGCCTGTGCTTCCAGGAGAACCCAATTTTGGCTTGCCTTTGTCTTCTGCAGAGCTCCAGTTGCTGGAACTGGAAAGACTGTCACTCCTCACACTGTTAGTTAAGTTCTTGCTCATGGAGAGCTGATTTCTCAGCATGCTAGTTTTGGTTGATTCTGTTGGTAACACAAAAAGAGGGGTTATAGGAATTGTCAATGGAAGACGATGCTTCATTAGATACAACTATTTCCCTGGAGTCTTACAGAGAAACTAGGTTTCCCAACCCCTGGAGCAGAGTCCTGGCACTGACTGAAGACTATGATAAGGAGTTGTTCCACTAATTTTTGTCTCTTGGAAAGAAATATGCTTCCAAATTCATTTAGGCTGCTGGTAGAATTAAATTCCTTGCAGTTTTAGGACTGAGTTTCTATTTTCTTATTTCCTCCGACAGGTAACCTCTCTCATCTCCTAACGCACAGACATTCACAGTTAGTCTTCTCCATCTGCAAACCAGCAGAGGTCCACTGAATTAACTCAGGCTCCAGGTTTCTGACCCTGTCATCAGCTGGAAAAATAACTGCTTTTAAGGTCTCATAAGAGTATAATGGATCCCTAAAACTCAACAAAACATAATCACAGGAAAATTTGGAGCAGAATGTCTTTGGCAGAGCATTTTTAGAAACTCTGCCTACCACCAATGCTGTTAAAACAATTACTTATATCATTTATTTTCATTTTGGGTTCACATCTGGCAATATGACCGCAGGGTTTATTTCTGACTCTGCACTCAGGAATCATTCCTGTTGATTCTCAGGGGACCATATGGGATGCTAGGGATCAAACCTAGGTTGGATACATGCAAGGCAAGAACCTTATCTGCTGTACTATCTCTCTGGACCCTACTTACATTATTTTATACCTTGTACCCCCCTCTTGGCTTTCTTCAAACATCCAGCAGACTCAACAAATATTGACTTTTAGTCTGTGCACTATAAAGAATAAGCTTGTACCAAGATATCCTGATTACTTTTAATCTGAGATTACATAAGCTACACCAATTGCATATGTGTTATGGCCTTCAAAATAAAGAGGTTCAAGTACCAAGGCTTTATGTAGTATCCTGATTTTCAACATGAAGGTACTTACCATCCTTGTATGAAATGAAAAACTTTGAAAATTAGTTAATAGTCTAAAAATTGTCTATTGAACAGGAGAGTATCCATACATGGAAATAGGAGTGTTATTTATATGATTCATTGTTTTTCTAGCCATCAGGAGAACTCCTATCTTAGCTACCTCTATAACAAAGAATTAAAAAAGAATAAATTTTCTTGGCTACCAAGTCATCAAACTAAATAAATGATTTATTTAGGAAAATTGAATTCCTTCATGCCCCGATGATACTCTGGAGATCACCCTGACCCAAATCAGCAAGACAAAACCAACCATTTTATACAGGTGAGCCAAAACAAAAATTAAACTTTGCTCCAAAAGTTTCTAAAAACACAGTAATAATTTACAAATATTTTAAATATTAAATAAAAACATACTTCTCTGCCAGCAAAATAAAATATTTAACTATTCACCCACCTCTATATATTTATACATTCACTACACTTGAAAAACAAATGTTATTGAAAAACTAAAACCACTGGAAAGAAAGTACAGGAGTTAAGGCATATGTCTTGCATACAACAGAACTTGGTTCAATCCCTGGCACCACACAGTTTTTTGAACATTGCCACGTCTAGAGGCAAGGTCTAGAGGCCCCCACATAACCCCCAGCAGGACAAGGCCCAAGAAGTGCTGCATTCTCAGGTCCTTTCACCAAACCACTAGGTCACTTGACTAAGAATAACTGGGAGAGGCCCATGGACCTTCTGAGAAAGGATTGGGAGACTTTCCCTCCAAAAGTTAAAACAATCCCTGCCCAAGGACCCAGCCCCAGCAGCCGAAAACTTCCAGAACTCAACTGCTGCCATGCCACGGCTGCTCTCCACATGCTCAGGCTGAGCCTCACCCACATGTGAATCCAAAGAAAGCCCAGGTATGCAGGACTTGTGACTGAAAACTCCAGGTTCAACAGAACCTGGAATGGGTGACCTTCCCCCCACTTCCCCCTGTTTCTGACATCTCAGCAGTCACACCCATAAGTCACCTCTAGCTGGCACCAGATAATTTCGTCAACAACCACGATCCAGAGACTCATTGTCCTTCACTCAGAAGAGAGCATAAAACGACTTGTTATAACCATGCTCTTGGATCTTGTGCCAGGCTGTTTCATTTGGGGCAACTGGAAGGCGGGGGGTGGGGGGCAGGTGAGGCCCCTCCCTGCCCCAAGGACCCAGCCTTGGCAGCTGAAAACCTCCAGAACTGCTTGGCAACAAATGGGACTGTGCAACATCTCATACTTGACACTAATATTCCAACAGTAGTGCACAGCATTTGATGGGGTTTAAAGTAAAAGGCAACTAATCTTAGAAGGAAATATTTATTTTACAGATAAGGCTGAATCTTACAGCATGTTAGTGATCTCTTGTAGAAGGGCTAGATGGCCCCTGGGTTAAATACAACAATCTTCACACGCTTTCCTCTTAATAAACTTTTTTGGATCACTTTCAGCAGTTTTTCATAACGAACAATACTAAATAAATTATTTTGACTCTGCTTTGGGGAAGGGATTTGGGTTAGGGATGGAAACTCCTGAAATATGGTGGTGGAAAGGTGTAATGGTGGTGGGATTGGTGTTCGAATATTGAATGTAATCAAATATTGTGAACTAATTTGTAAAAATTAAATTAAAGAAAAAACAAGTTGAAACAAAATAAAAATTGAGAAGTTTTCTATTAATAGTAAGAATACTAAGTCAAGTGAATGCTGGAAATATCAGGAGGCCGTTAAAATATTTAGGATGAGTAACAAGTACCACCTCTAGAAAAAATTTTTTGGAATGGGTGGGCTGGACTGGCAAAAAGAAGGTATCCAGAGAAATACCCCATTTGGGGAAACCTTCTTATCCCCATGGGCCTAAGATCTTCCTCTCTGAACAGAGACACCTGGTATAAGTGAACAGTACATTCAAGAGGGATCAAGCTATAGCAAGAAACCCCTTTCTAAAAATTCTCTTGGTTTTGTGGGCTTGGGAGTGTTCTTACTTCCAAAGAAAAAAATCTGTGGACACCCAAGACTTAGTGTTGGGTAAGTGATTGCAACTCCTCTAACTGCACCAGAAGACACCTATAGGAGCCCAATTAGTGATGGACAAGCATTGAAACCACCAAAATAATGCCACAATGCTATGAAAATTATCCAGCCATTGAACCATAGTCTAAAAGAGCAGACTAATGCTGATGTGCTAACATTAAACAGGACAGATACTTCCAAAATAATTGGTTGAAATAAAACCCAGAGACCCTATCATAAGAGACAAAGCATTTAGGATGCTTTTTAAAAATCACCCATCATAACAAAAACCAACAAAATCAAATTTTGCATGATTCCAACTCCAAGCTAATTTAAAAGATGAATTATTTAGTTAATGGATTTCAAAGAAATTAGCACAAAATGTTTCAACAATTATCATAAATATCTTGATGTAAATGAATAGAATCTCGGTGAAGAAAAGTTACAAAATAAATTTCCAAATGGAAATAGTAAAACTAAAAAAAAAAGAAAAAAATGTGTTGGGACACTCTAATAATACATTGCAGTTGACAGGACAGATGTACAAGAGAACTTGAGTATGGGAAATAAATAGAAATCTGGAGATTTTAAGAGATATAACAAAACTTTCAGTATTCATATAATCAGTATCAAAATATAAAAGAGAAAGTGGAACTCAGCAGAAGCACAGCAAATTTGATGGGAAAGTTGCATAGGGTACTACAAAGCTACTGAGAATAAACATAACACAGAAGGCTCAACTAGCACTACCCAGCTCAGTAAATCCTCGGGCAATGACTTTATTTTTTTTTTATTAGTGAAACACAATGAGGTACACTTGTAGACGTACAAGTTTTTGTGCTTGGGTTTCAGTTATACAATGATCAAGTACCCATCCCACCACCAGTGCCCGTTCTTCACCCCCACTAATCCCAGTATCCCTCCTACCCCCCCCCCCCCCACATTCCCCATCCCACCCTGCCTCTGTGGCAGGGCACTCTCTTCTGTTCTCTCTCTCCTTTTGGGTGCTGTGGTTTGCAGAAGAGGCATTGGGTGGCAATCATGTTTGATCTATAGTCTACTTTCAGCATGCATCTTCTATCCTGGGCAGATCTTCCCAGCACCCTTTATTTGGTGCTCCCTTCTCTATCTGAGCTGCCTTTACCCCTAAAGAGTGAAGCTGGCCTCGAAGCCATGGAGTGAACCTCCTGGTATTTATCACAGCTATTCTTGGGTGTTAGTCTCTTATTTTGTTAGTTTATGTTACCCAGATGAATGCAATCTTTCTATGTCTGTCCCTCTCTTTCTGGCTCATTTCGCTTAGCATGATATTTTCCATGTAGTACCACCTGTATGTAAATTTCATGACTTCATTTTTTCTAACAGCTACATAGTACTCCATGGTGTAGATGTACCAAAGTTTCTTTAACCAGTCATCTGTTCTCAGGCGCTCAGGTTTTTTCCATATTCTAGTTATTGTAAACAGTGCTGCAATGAACAAACAAGTGCAGATGTCACTTCGAATATAATTTTTTGCCTCTCCGGGGTATATTCCCAGGAGTGGTATTGCTGGGTCTAGTGGGAGCTCAATTTCTAATTTTTTGAGAGTCATCCATACTGTTTTCCAAAAGGGTTGGACCAGTCGGCATTCCCACCAGCAGTGAAGGAGGGTCCCTTTCTCGCCACATCTGCGCCAACACAGGTTGCTTTTGTTCTTTTGGATGTGGGCCAGTCTCTGTGGTGTGAAATGATATCTGATTGTTATTTTGATCTGCATCTTCCTGATGATTAATGATGTAGAGCATTTTCTCATGTGCCTTTTAGCCATTCAGATTTCTTCTTTGAGAAAGTTTCTTTTCATTCTGTCACCCCACTTTTTGATGGGGTTGGATGTTTTCTTCTTGTGGAGTCCAACCAGTACTTTGTATATCCTTGATATCAACCCCTTGTCGGATGTGTATTCAGCGAATATCTTTTCCCATTCTGTAGACTTTCTTTGTATTTTGGTCACTGTTTCTTTGGAGGTGCAGAAGCTTCTTAGTTTAAGATAGTCCCATTTGTCTATCTCTGCTTTCACTTGCTTGGCCAGTGGCGTGAAATCTATGAAGATACCATTAGCTTCAATGTCATGGAAGGTTTTGACAACTTTGTCTTCAATGTACCTTATGGATTCCGGCCTGATGTTGAGGTCTTTGATCCATTTTGATCTTACTTTTGTAGTAGAGTTTGAAGTTCGGGAGGTTAATTCCTCCCATTTTCTTTTTCCCAAGAATTGCTTTAGCTATTCGTGGGGGCTTATTGTTCCATATAAATTTTAAGAGTGTTTGCTCCATTTCTTTGAAGAATGCCATGGGTATCATAATAGGGATCGCATTGAATTTGTACAGTGCTTTGGGAAGTATTGCCATTTTGACAATGTTAATTCTCCCAATCCATGAACAGGGGATATTTTTCCATTTCTTCGCGTCCTCTTTTATTTCCTGAAGCAGCGTTTTGTAGTTTTCTTTGTACAGGTCCTGAACTTCCTTAGTTAAGCTAATTCATAGGTATTTGATTTTCTGGGGCACAATTGTGAACGGGACTGTTTTCTTCATGTTATTTTCTTCTCTCACACTATTTGCGTATAGGAAAGCCATGGACTTTTGGGTATTGATTTTATAGTCAGGCAATGACTTTAGTAACACCATTATGAAATACAATGATCAAAAATTATTTTTACTGATCTATTTTTTAATAATTACATTTGCCATGTGGTCTCCTTTATTTATTTATTTTTGGCTCTTTGGGTCACACCCGGGCAGGAGCCAACCTGGGTTCAATTCCTTTGTCCCCCTCGGAGAGCCCAGCAAACTACCAAGAGTATCCCACCCACACAGCAGAGCCTGGCAAGCACCCCGTGGCGTATCTGTTATGCCAAGAACAGTAACAACAGGTCTCACAATGGAGACATTACTGGTGCCCACTAGAGCAAATCGATGAACAATGGGAGGGCAGTGCTACATTTGACATTTTGTTGTAACAAGCAATATGAAGTAAATTTGTGCCTGCTAAGGGGGCAGGCTTGGATGGTGGGTGAGAAACTGGGAACAGTGGTGGAGGGAAGGTCACTCTGGTGTTGGAATTGGTGTTGGAACACTGAATGTCTGAAACAACTGTATTATTAAATTTGTAAATCATGCTGTTATAATAAAACCCCCAATAAACAACAAAAATAGTGGAATTGAGAATTTTTTGAGGGGGGTTGTGTCACACAGGGTTTACTCCTGGCTCTGTACTCAGGAATTACTCCTGGTGGTGCTCAGGGGACCATATGGGATGCTGGGAATTGAATCCGGTCAGCTGTGTGCAAGGCAAACGCTCTACCTGCTCTGTTATCATTCCAGCCCTGAGAGAAATTATTTTAAGAAATGATAGAACAAAACATCCCAAATTTGATGGAAGACTTGACGTGCTAATCCAAGAAGTTGAACAGAATAAACTCAAAAGCGGAATAAATACAAAACGTTCAGATGAAGATATATTATTTTTTAAAACTTTACAGAAGAGAAACATTTAAAAGTAGCTAGAGAGGGGAAAAAAGAGTATCTAAAGAAGAATATCAATTTAGATAATAACAGAAGAGGCATAAGATTTTTCAGCTATCTGAAGGGAAGAAAACAACTGCAAATTCTGAATATGGTAAAAAATGTCCTTCAAAAATGAAAAAAATTAAATGTATTCCTATACAAAAAATAGAAAAAGATTTTTAGTTAGTAAGAAGAATGACATAAAAACTTTTTAAAACAAGATTAAAATGATGAAGGAAATTCTGGAGAATTGGGAAGAGCAAAGGGAAGCAAAAATGCGGTACATAAAATAGATTATTATTTTACCATAAGATTTATAAATAATATTTGATGACAGATAATAATTATAACACCTTGGTCAGATAGATAGTACAGCAGGGAGGATGGTTGCCTCTCATGTAGCCAACCCAGGTTCAATCCCCGGAACTGGCACTCTATATGGTCCCCGAACCCTGACAAGAGTAAGCCTTGAGCACAGAGCCAGGAGTAAACTCTGACCATCACCAACTGTAGCCCCCAAACAAAGCAAAGCAATACAAATTTAGACTTCTTTTAAAATAACATGGTTTTTCCCCCTCCTGCCTTCCTGCATTGAAGGAAATTTTTCTTGCTTTGAAAACCAGTAATAAAATTCCAAACATATTCACTGATACCTGCATGGAGGACTTTCTTTTTCTGAGTCTTTTTATTTGAAGCGTCCCTCTGTATTTTTATCATATCTAGGGAGGACAGCAGCGCTGATTTAATGCCAGAGAGATGCTGTGTACATTTTTCTGGGGTCAAATCCTTAGGAGAGGTTTCTTTTGGATGCCTGTTTTGATTTAAATTAAAAGGTAGACAAAGGGAAGAAAAAACACAAACACACACACAAAAATATAACGTAATATAAAAGTTTATCAAGAAGGTAAATCAATACAATTATGTTGATGTCACTAATTTAAAGAAATGTGCCCCTGACTCTGTCAATATGGGTAACAGAGGAAGAATCTTCTGTTCCATGAAGAAAAGTGGATAAGGATGAATTATTGACATACACAAAAACTTAACCTTAGCCCAGTATCATTAGATATGGCTCACACCACAACTCTCTTACAACCTACTTGTGTGACTTTGGCTGGTTGCTTTCTTACCATAAACTGGAGGAAACTTGAGCTATCCATCAACCTCACAGAGTTGATCAACAGAAGGGAGAGCCAGCAGCAAACCAGAAAACTGCAGATATCAGCTTCTCTAACTGAAGGATTGAACAGATAGCTTTTATACAATACAAAAAAGTGAAACTCTCAGGCCAAATCATTGTGGCAAAAATTTGAGGAAGTACAGCAATTTACTTTCAACCACAGCTGAGAAGGTGAACCAACTTTTCCTAAGGTTATTATAAAGATGTATAGAAGCACAATGTCTATAGACCAAGGTTGCTCTGTCTTTTATTCTTCTTGATACTGTTTCTGAGCCCTTACTAGGTATCTGAAAATCCCTCATTTGAACTCTCCAACCATCTTTTTTCTAGACTGTAAAACTTATTGGGGTGCGGGGTGGAGGGAACAAATTCATACATGGCTTTATCAATAGCACATACAAACTACCAAGACAACATCCTAACACAGCTGGTCATTTTTGTCCTGAGATTTTCAGTTTGATTAAACAACGGTAAGATAACAAGGTACTGGTCCAAAGTTCAGAGAACATAATTTGCACCAAAGGATCACCCATTTGTTTGATTCTTAGTTTACTTATGCAAATCCTTTGAATTTAGAAGATATATGTGAGCTTTCCCAAACAAACACTTGAAAATTACATGATACAGACATTTTTACTTATTCTATATCGTGCCTCCAGTCATAGTGGCTTAATTTGCTGAGAGGAAAATCTAGAATTTCAATGAAGGAAAAAATCCTCATAAATAAATGTGTTTTCAACTTCTCTCCATTTTACTTATACTTTTAAAATATAAAGGTATTCTCTTGAAAGAATATATGTGAAGCAGTGAGAGTTGAGTGTCTATGCAACATCATATCATTTTATAATATTTGGTGCATTTTCAGAGATGATTGGGTGATTCTGATTTTGACTTCAAAACTAATTAGATGTACATTTGAATATGGGATAGGAAAAGACCAGAGAAATTATCTGTTACAAATTCTGTCAACACAGCCACTGTTTCAAAGATGAAAAAAACAGACTCAGCAATGGATGGGTGTAGGCAGATGATCTATCAGAGCCATACAGTGTAGTCAGACTTTTCAGCAACTCCCATCAGAGTCAAATTCTCTTCAGTATGAAATAACACTGCATTTCTCTGTCATTTCTGGGATTGAGGGGCCCATCCCATGTGGGTAGAGAAGAAGACACATTCACTACTCATGGTGCTGACCTGGATTTCAGAACTTACATGAGAGTATGTGGCCTCTTCAAAAAGAGTTACTAAATTCCTTTGTTATGTTTTCTATTTTTTTTAAAAAAAATATTCTATGTGGCTTTTTTAAAAACCAATTAAATCTTTCAAAGCCTTGGAGTGAGCAAATCATCTACAGGACCCCCAACACCAGGGAAGAAGAAATTCAGCTTACTCACTCATTTCTTTCCTTTACACTGTTGTACCACCAGTCCATCACCAAAGACTCCAAATAGAGGTCTTGCAACTTCTCCAGGTCACTGCGTCCCTGCTCCAGTTCTTTAATTAAAATGGTTATATCTTCATTCTGCCAAAATGAGAAGTGAAAAAATTATGAGTTTCAAACATTAAACATTTGCAATAGAATGTCAACTCTCTCAGAAGAACAAGACTCGGAAGAATTTCATATAATTCATATATTATTCCAGCTTAAGCAGTTTTACTGATGTATAGTTCACATACAATAAACTGAATGCATGTCATGTGTATCATTTGGATAACTGCCATTCACATCTTTGAAAATGTCTGTGATCAAGATAAAAACATCACTCCCAAAGTTTCCTTGTGCTCCACTATAAATCTGTTACACCTCCTCTCCTACAATCCCAAGCAACTACTCATTTGTTTCCTGTTTCATTTTTTAGAGTTTAATATAAATGTAACTTTTTGTGAGCTTTCTTGACTCATAAAATTTTTTTTAGCTTCACTCATTTTTATTACTCTTCTATTGAATACTAAAAAATTGGTCACCTGTTGACAAATAAATATGAGATGTTTTCAAGTTTAGGTTATTAAAAATAAAACTATGAACATTTGAGTACAATCTTTTGTATGAGTATAATCCAACATCAGCATTCATTGGGTGAAATGGGTGGTGATGTTAATCTTTTATTTATTTATTTTTATTGAATCATCGTAAGATACAGAGTTACAAAGCTTTTCATGATCCGGTTTCTGTCATACAGTGTTCTAACACCCACCCCTTCACCAGTGTACATTTCCCACCACCAATGTCCCAGTTTCCCTCCCACCATACTCTCCCTAGTCTGTCTCCATGGCAAACACTTTTTTTTAAAACTGAATCACCATGGCTACAGTTACAAAACTTTTGTGTTTGAGTTTCAGTCAGACAATGATCGAACACCCATCACTCCACCAGTGTACATTTTCCACCACCAATGTCCCTAGTATCCCTCCCCTCCCCCATCCCACCATTCCCCCTGTTTCTATGGCAGACAATTTCCCTCTTTATCTCTCTACATATGGGTATTTATGTCTTATGGCAGGCACTTTCATTCTCTCTCTCTTTCTCTTTCTCTCTCTCTCATTTTAGGCATTATGTTTTGGAATACAGGTATTGAGAGGTTATCATGCTTACTCCTTTATCTTCAGCATGCAATTATTATCCAGAGTGATCATTTCCAGCTATCCTTGTTATAGTGGTCTCTTCTCTACCCCAATTTCTTTCTCCCCCAGAATTTGAGGCAGGCTTCCAACTTTGAATCAATCCTCCTGGCCCTTGTCCCTGCTGTCTTTAGGTGTTAGTCTAATATTATATTATTTTATATTCCACTGATTAGTGCAGTCATTTTATGTATGTTCCTCTCTAACTCATTTCACTTAGCAAAATACTCTTTATGTCCATTTTTATAAGCAAATTTCATACTTCATTTTTCCTAACAGCTGCATAGTATTCCATTGTGTAGATATACCATAGTTTCTTTATCCTGTCATCTGTTCTCCAGCACTGGGGTTGTTTCCAGATTCTGGCTATTGTGAATAGAGCTGGAGTGAACATAGAAGCACAGATAGCATTTCTGCTGTGTGGTTTTGAGCCTCCTGGGGTATATTACCAGAACTGATATTGTTAAATTGTATGGAAGCTTGATTTCTAGCTTTTTGAGGAATGGCTTTCCCAGCAACAATGAAGAAGAGTCCCTTTCTCCAAACATGCACACATCGGGTGCTCTTGTTATTTTTGATGTGTGCCAGTCTCCATCAAACCTGAATCCTTAAGATACATGAAGAAAAATGTGGACAGAAGCCTCCATGACATTGAAGCTAAAGGAATCTTCAAGGAAGAATACACTGCTGACCAAGCAAGTGGAAGCAAAGATAAACAAATGAAACTACATTAAACTAAGAAGCTTCTGTACCTCAAAAGAAATGATGACTAAGATATAAAGACAGACAGAGGCCCAGCTCTGGGCAACAAAGCTGAACGGCTCCAATTCCAACAGGTACAGCCCGCCCCCAAGGGCCTGGGTTCCTCTCTGGGCACGCGCAGCTAGAAACAGCCCCTAGACAGCTGGTTTTCAACCCCTGATCTGCGTGGGACGGGCACAGAGGCCCAGCTCTGGGCAACAAAGCTGAATGGCTCCAATTCCAACAGGTACAGCCCGCCCCCAAGGGCCTGGGTTCCTCTCTGGGCACGCGCAGCTAGAAAAAGCCCCTAGACAGCCGGTTTTCAACCCCTGATCTGCGTGGGACGGGCACAGAGGCCCAGCTCTGGGCAACAAAGCTGAACGGCTCCAATTCCAACAGGTACAGCCCGCCCCCAAGGGCCTGGGTTCCTCTCTGGGCACGCGCAGCTAGAAACAGCCCCAAGACAGCCGGTTTTCAACCCCTGATCTGCGTGGGACGGGCACAGAGGCCCAGCTCTGGGCAACAAAGCTGAACGGCTCCAATTCCAACAGGTACAGCCTGCCCCCAAGGGCCTGGGTTCCTCTCTGGGCACGCGCAGCTAGAAACAGCCCCTAGACAGCCGGTTTTCAACCCCTGATCTGCGTGGGTCGGGCACAGAGGCCCAGCTCTGGGCAACAAAGCTGAACGGCTCCAATTCCAAACAGGAGACATTCCCAACTCCTCGCCCAGTGCCAGGGACTCTTTCCGGAGCCGCGGCCGCTAACGCGGCCGCGAAATATTTTCCCACTACATATGCCATAGGAACCATAAGCTAACTTCTTAGATAGAAACTTCTCTAGTTTAGCTCAGCCACTAGAAACACAGTTGCCAATAACTCATAAGCCTATCTTAACTCACACTGCATATCAAGCAGAATAGTAACACTGAACGTGAAGGACTAAACCACACCTCTCACAATGGTAAAGCAACGCAAAAGCCCACCAAACTTTCATATTGAAGAGTCTAGCCCAGATGACACCAACAGTACTGTAGTGTTAGACAACCTCTCTGACAAGGAATTCAGAAGGGAGCTACTTAGGATGCTTAGGGAATTAAAAGAAACAATGGAAAGCAATGCCAATAGAAGACAAGAGGATCTGAAGGCAGAAATGAGGAAAATGCAATCAGAAATGTCAGACCTGAAAAATCTCGTAGGCGAATTGAAAAGCTCAGTGGAAGGCCTCAGCAGCAGAGTAACAGCGGCTGAGAACAGAATCAGTGAGCTCGAAGATGAAGTTCAGAGACTCTCCAGAAAAGAGCAGAAAATGGAAAAGAGACTCACAATTCGGGAACAGATGGCAAGAGAAGATCGTGATGAAGCCAAGAGGGGTAACATAAGAATTATTGGAGTCCCAGAGGGACAGGAAGAAAACCTCGATGAAGAAGAAACTGTCAAAGACATCATTGCTACAAATTTTCCAGAGCTGAAGAAAACTTGTGACCACATTCAGGAGGCCCGAAGGGTACCAGCTAGAAGAAATCCGAATAAAAATACCCCAAGACACATTCTGATCAAAATGACCAAAACCTTAGACAGAGACAAAATTCTGAAAGCAGCAAGATCGAAGAGAGAAATCTCTTACAAAGGAGCATCCTTAAAATTCACAGCTGATTTTTCTGATGAAACCCTCAAGGCCCGAAAACAGTGGTGGGACATAGTAAAAAAACTCAATGAAATAAATGCCTCTCCCAAAATACTTTTCCCAGCAAGACTCTCATTCATAATAGAAGGAACAACACACAGTTTCACAGACAAACAACAGCTCAGGAACTTCATAGACTCAAAACTATGGTTACAAGAACAACTAAATGGGCTACTTTAAGGCAAGAAAGGCCCCTCAAATACACCAAATTTTAACATAACAATGGGACAAAATCCCATAACAATAATCTCTCTCAATGTCAATGGGCTAAATGCACCAATTAAAAGACATAGAGTGGCAGGATGGATTAGAAAATTGAACCCAACATTCTGCTGCCTGCAAGAAACGCATCTCAATAATCAAAGCAAACACAGACTCAGAGTCAAAGGCTGGAAAACAATCCTACAGGCAAACAGCTCCCATAAAAAAGCTGGGGTAGCCATCCTTATATCAGACCACATCGATTTCAGAGTGAGGAAGGTCATAAGAGACAGTGAAGGCCATTACTTATTGATCAGAGGATCTGTACAACAGGGAGAACTTACAATAATAAATGTATATGCACCTAATGAGAGACCAGCAAAGTACTTAAAACAACTACTCATAGATTTGGAAAAAGACATCAATAGCAACACAATAATAGTGGGAGACTTCAACACTGCTTTGTCACCTCTTGATAGATCAACCAGACTCAAGCTTAGCAAGGACATACTTCATTTGAGGGAAACAATGGAAGAAAGGGACTTAGTAGATATATACAGGACACTTCATCCACAAAAAGCTGAATACACATTCTTCTCAAGCGTACATGGAACATTCTCCAAGATAGACCACATGCTGAGCCACAAAACATGCCTCCATAAAATTAAGAAGGTAGAGATTGTATCAACAATCTTCTCAGACCATAATGCGCTGAAATTAGAAGTAAATCACACACAAAAACAGAAAACTAAATCAAACACCTGGAAATTAAACAGTGCACTATTGAACAACGAGTGGATTAGACAGGAAATCAAAGAGGAAATCAAAAGATTCCTAGAAACGAATGAAAATGAGAACACGAGTTACCAAAACTTATGGGACACAGCAAAGGCTGTGTTAAGAGGAAAGTTTATAGCTCTACAAGCATTCCTCAGGAAGGAGGAGCGAGCACACATAAGTAACCTAACCTCACAGCTTAAGAGCTTGGAGAAGGACCAAAAAAAGGAACACAACCCGAACAGGAGAAAGGAAATAATAAAACTCAGAGCAGAGATTAACGAGATGGAACCCAAAAAACAATCCGAAAGATCAATGAAACCAAGAGCTGGTTCTTTGAGAAAATTAACAAGATCGATAAGCCTCTAGCAAAACTCACAAAGAAAGGGAGAGAGAAAACCCTAATAAACCGAATCAGAAATGAAAAGGGGGTCATTACAACAGAAACCACAGAAATTCAGAGGATCCTCAGGGAGTACTTTGAGAAGCTTTATGCCACGGA